CACTAAGAAATAGGCCCCTAATCAACGGCAATTTTTCGTGTGGCGCATCCACGAATCAAGACCTCGGCGTGGCACTCGGCTATCACCAGGCCACCCGCCCCCTTTGCTCACCCTTCCCGTCCATCGTGCAGGATGGTGCCAGGCATGCCACGACCAACTTTGTTCTCGAAGCCGCGCCAGAAGCCAAGTCGCAGCTAGGTATGTGGCAGGCTCAGGCTGGCGCTCTCCCGTGAGCCGAAGTGAACGCCAAAACACGTCTAGTCATCGATGTTACACCACCATAGCAACACTGGCAACACAGAGCCAACGAGCATTTTTTTCGTGCCAACACTGATAGAGAAGTCAGGCCCGGGAGACGCGCCAATGAAGTGGCTCGATGAGATGGGAGTGGCGGCGATGCCAAGGTCGATCAACGTTACCGCCGAGCCCCTTGGCTGTCGCATTTCACCGTCCAAGAGACTCAAGCTCTCACCACTCTGTCGCTCTTCTGGCTGACTTTTCCCGAGCCTGGCAGGCAGATTCTGCAACCTACTGATATCAGATCGAGCCGGCCGAGTTCAGCTGTTTGCCCGGGTTCCACGAGTCGCGAATCAGATGCTCTCCCTTACCAGAGTGTGTATCCAACAAGGCGAATTCGGTCTCTCTCTCACTTTCAATGTCTCTCAACTCTGGTGTGAACCCCAGACCGACACCAGCTACGCCGCCGCCTATCTGCTACCCTCTCATCCTTGACCTGCCTAATCGGGCCATTTGTCCTGGAGCCCATCACGGTCCATCATATCCATCAGGGCCCATCATCTCCCTCTCGTTGGAGCTGCCCACCACCCACCAACTGGTATTTGTCTCGGTCCAGGCTGGCGTGGAATCCGTGGATTCTCACCTGTGGGATCGTTCTATTGCAACAGATCCCTTCAACTCTTCCCTGCGACCTGCATCGTCCTGCGCGCGCTGGCCGCCTGTCTCCGATTCTGACCCCCCCCCCTGCACCGTCCCAAACGCCCGACCTCGACCCCGTCGTCCTCGACAGTATTATCTTCGTGATGTGATACTCCCCGTTGCTCTGTTCTTTGCAACGCAAACAAGGAGAGAAGGAGGTAGAGTGTATGGTATCCTCTCGTCTCCTGTCCCGTGGCGACGATTCTAGGCGAGATGGACGGTCGCCTTCCTCCCTTCTCGACGGCTCCGTCGACGCCTACGCACGAACCTTGGACCCAGGAACCTTGTTGACATCGAGGCAAACCTTACCTCCTCCACGATTGGCCCGTCCCATGCCATCCCATGCCACCACCGTCTTCTCTCCGTGCTAGACATGAGTCCATGTCCCTGTCATCCAACCCCCGTCCTTGCCCCCCACCTCCAGGCGCTAGAGTAAGGTATCTCGCCCATGTCTGTGTATCTGCGGATACCTACCGGCTGCCGAATGCAGCTGTGATGCGACCTCCTGCTGTCGCGACCGGGAAATATAAATCATCTCTCATGAGACGCTCCCTCGCTCATGGCTCTCCCCTCCCCTTCTCTCTCGCGATCAGCAGCCCTTCATCCACGGCCAACAGCTAAGGTCAAAGTTTGACCCACCTGTCAATTTGCTGTCAAAGACTCGTTAACTCGTGTCTTTCGCTATCATCACTCGCGGAGCCTCTTGTACCAGACCCCTGGGTTCTCAACCCGCTCCAGAAACTTTCCTCCAACTCAAGCCATGAGTAACGCCGGAGGCCTTCAGGACGATGTCCTGGCCAAGGCCCACGTCCCCCAGGCCACTGTGCAGGGCACTTCGAAGGAGACTCGCGGCTCATTCGACGTGACCGCCGCCGCCGCTCCTCCCGTCGAAGACAACTACTACGACTCAAAGTCCGACGATGACTACGAGGACAAGCCCACCGAGGAGGAGTTGAGCACGCTTCGCCGTGTCTCGGGCCCCATTCACTGGGGTATCTACACCATCGCCTTCGCCGAGCTTTGCGAGCGTTTCTCGTACTACGGTTCCTCCGTCTTGTACACTAACTTCGTCATGCGACCCCTTCCTCCGGGTTCGACGACCGGCGCCACTTACGGCGCTGATATCCCCGCCGGTGCCTTGGGCATGGGTCAGAGAGCCTCTCAGGGTGTCTCTCTGGTGAACCAGTTCTGGGCTTACCTCGTTCCCCTTTTCGGGTATGTTGCTCTGTGCGAATCCTTGCTAAGAACAGAGACTGACTAGTAACTCCAGTGGTTGGTTGGCCGACTCCAAGTTGGGTCGTTACAAGGTCATTCACATTGCCATCGCCGTCTCGACCGTCGCTCACATTATCCTGACTGTCGCCGCCGCTCCCTCTGTCATCTCCAAGGGCAAGGTTGCCTTCGCCCCCTTCTTCCTCGGTCTCTTCACCCTTTGCTGCGGTACTGGTCTGTTCAAGGCCAACATCTCTCCCCTGCTCGCCGAGCAGAACAAGGACACCCGCATGCGCGTTGAGACCCGCGGGGGCGAGCGTGTCATTGTCGACCCTTCCGTCACCAACACCCGTATCTTCCTGTGGTTCTACTTCGCCATCAACTGCGGTGCCGTCAGTGGCCAGATTTCCATGGTCTTCGTTGAGAAATACCACAGCTTCTGGCTGGCCTTCCTCCTCCCCACCATCCTCTTCCTCATCTGCCCTGTTGTCCTCTGGTCCAACAAGAAGAAGTACCATCTTACTCCCCCCACCGGCTCCGTTCTCGAGAAGTTCTTCCGCATGTCCAACTTTGCTGCGAAGCGCTCTGGAGGCATCACCAAGCTGAACTGGGAGAACGCGAAGCCCAGCAACGTCCCCGTTGCCGAGCGCCCTGGCTGGTTGACTTACGATGACGCCTGGGTTGACGAGGTCCGCCGTGGTCTCAAGGCCTGCAAGGTCTTCCTTTTCCTGCCCATCTTCTTCCTCGCCTACAACCAAATGACCAACAACTTGACCTCCCAGGCTGGTTCCATGGTCCTGAACGGTGCCCCCAACGACGTCATCCAGAACCTGAACCCCCTTTCCATCATTATCATGATTCCCATTCTGGACCACCTCGTCTACCCCGGTTTCCGCAAGATGGGCTTCAACTTCACTCCCATCAAGCGCATGACCACTGGTTTCTTCTTCGCCGCCGCCGCCATGGTGGCCGCCACCGTCATGCAGCACTACATCTACCAGATGTCCCCTTGCGGTGACTTGGCCACCATTTGCGAGGAGGGCCCTGCTCCCATCAACGTCTGGGCTCAGTGTCTCCCCTACGTCTTTGTCGGTCTCGCCGAGATCTTCACCAACGTCACCTCGTACGAGTATGCCTTCTCCAAGGCCCCCGAGAACATGAAGTCTCTCGTCATGTCTGTCAACTTGGCTATGAGCGCCGTCTCTGCCGCCATCGGCCAGGCCTGGACTCCTCTGTCCGAGGACCCCCTCCTCGTCTGGAACTACGCCTCCGTCGCTATCATCGCCTTCCTCGGTGGTGTTGCTTTCTGGTTCTGCTTCAAGCACCTCGACGGAGAGGAGGACGAGCTCAACCAGCTGAAGAAGACCAAGTTCCTTGGCTCCAACCAGCCTACTGCTGCAGCTCAGGACGATCAGGTCGCTCAGGCCCAGGTTTCTGAGAAGGTTTAAACCACTTATACCCAGAAACATTCATGCTCTGCTTCCTCCTGTGGAAGAGCGTGTGTAACCTCATTTGGTTGTATGATTTCCCGCGTCAAATGATTCCCCGGCAGTTGGTCTTGCGGACTAGCTGTCCATACTCCTAGTTAGACAAGTGCACGATAATGCATATAATGAAAATACCTATTCCCACGCACCAGCCTTATCATACATTTACTCATAATGTGAATGAGCTTACTGGAATGAAACTAAGTGCCATTTATCTGTTCTCGAGGGTTCTAGACCAACCCCATCCATGTAAATCAGCCGGCAATATGAAATAACTTTTCTGTCTGTTCCTGTCTAGTCTAAGCTGATTCTTTTCTCGACATACTCCGACGCAACTCCAAACCACGCATGTGTGCTCAACGTACCTCACTTAAGTCCTTGTTATCATACTCATAGGAACTAGCGCCGCTTCCAGCCAGATGAGGTTTCTCGTCCTCCCATTCGCTGCAAGAATGAGAATAAACAGTTGGTCCTCGGCTATCTCCCACCTTTTCAGCATGTGTCCCAAATGTTATCAGGATCATAGGCCGATATCATAGTGGCTCCATACCATAAAGCTGAGCGTACCAATGATTGGCCGAGGTCACTTCGAGCACTTTTGTAATAGAATTGAGCCAAGCTGTGAGCGTGTGTGCGTGGACCTCGTTAAGCGGAGGGTGGGCAGCTGCGAGTATTACATGCGCCATTTGATAGTCAATCAGATCTTCGTCATCAGAAACATCGCAAACCTACTCACTGATGACCACTCAGCGACTGGATCTCTTCAAATGTACCAGAGTTAAAGTTTGGGCATGGAAACCTTCCAGCAGGAATAGCCTGTCATGTCTCAACGGGGGGTCGGAACACCCATGAGACCTACTGGATTAGACGCGCTGTGAAACCGCCCTGTGATAGAGGAGAATCAATCTCCGGACACGACAGAGAATTTGGGTCTTGGACACAAGCTCTAGAGGGCGTGAGTCAAGAAGCTCCGAGTAGAATGTCAAATTGAGGAGGCACAGCCAGAAAAACTGTGTTCCCGGGGAGAAAGATTACATTAGTAACGGCGGCCAAAGGTTAGGCGGCATAATAGTAAATCATCGTAAACCATTCTTCAATCCCTATTTCTCAGAGCATATTGCATAATTGACAAGCCCTCTAGGTTGGCTCGATTGTGATGACGCGCTGCTAATGTGACTTCTTGATGGACTGGACTTTGAGGATCGTTGTTTCCCTTCGTTTACACTATGACAAAGGGAAAGGTATTACACTTGTACTTTTGGGTGGTGGCCCGGGATATCTCGATGTTGCTTCAACTTAAGAAATCGAACGCTGCCCCTGAACTCCAACTCTTGTTCAACATTGAGTCATCATACAAATCTCTTCTCAGACTATGGCTCCCTTGCTCAAGGGCTTCTCCCCGGTCCTGTAATCAGTCGAAGACCGAGAATCGTCTCCGACGCTGGTATTTGACTCGTATGTTAGGTTGACATTGGTTGTGCGGACAATGCCATTGTATGTCATGATTTCCTCCTCGGACCCAGAAGGCGACGTGCTTCGGATCTCTGTATGGTGTTGCGAGCGCGTCATACGCATGTCCTTCAGCGTAATGTTGTCGCCTTCTCGAACCGTGTTGCGGGGCCGAGAGGAGTTGCCGTAGTACTTGAGCCCACTGCTGCCAGTCTTGCCGGAGCTGATGGCACCGAAGAGCTTCGGCCACCACTTGCGGAACATGGGGCGGAGAGCCGGAGCGGACGCGGAAACGATGGCGAGGTTTACTTCGACCGTGTTGTAGACGACGCCGATATCGTAGAAGGGGTCTTTGTTGGGATCCGGGGGCACGTAGAAGAGCTTGTAGATTGCCACGAGACGGATAATGGCGACGACGGTGACACTGGTAGAGAACTTATTAGCTTGGAGCAAGATTTTTGAAACCATGTGTGAAGCGTACACTGCACCAACCAAGAAGACGCAAATGACGGCAATCTTTGCACCCATTGGCATTTTCAAACCCAAGAAGATCCAGAACGGCAACAACAGAACGAGCACATCCATCAACACATTGAGACAAGAGATCGACACGTGGAAAGAGTTGTCGACACATCGGGCAGAAGCTCGTACGAGAGGATCCCAGTTGGCCTCGATCGGTAGGCACTGAAGAAGAGCGACGAGGAAGATGGCAGTGGCCATGGCAGCATTGGCGATGTTCAAGCCGTGGATGGTCCACCGAACGCCGGGCTTCTGTCCTCCGAGACGCAGAAGGAAAACCAAGATCGAGGCTCTGACGAAGGCCAAAACGGGGTTGTAGAACATTTGTGCCATGAAGAACCACCACATAGCGGGTGACGAGTTGAAGGGTTGGGGAACATCAACGGCGTGGTATCCGAAGTACATGAGCTTGATGTCTAGACAATGGTTAGTACACAGACGAGGCGAACCAAAGGCATTGTGAAGTACTTACACATATAAAATGGCGGTGTCATACACACTGCGCATAGCTACGAGTTTCGTTAGCCAACAAGATTCGTCCAATTGTTATCTTTTTTTCGTTTTCGGTTGCGTACCACTGCCATGCCGCATAACCAGTCGTCTAATTCAAGCGTTAGTCCCCATGATTATTCAACTGGCATAAAATCTGCTCCTTGGTCAACGTACCAAGACCCCATTGTCTAGTCGTAAGTCTGCTGTATGTCCGAGCTCCAAACACGACTATCGAAAGCGCCGGGAAGAAGAATGTGATGAAGATGGCGGCTTGCTGATGGGACGGACTTGGTATCGTCAACACGTCCGGGTGCTCAGGGCGCCGAGCAATAATCGAAGCATACTCCATGTTGAAAGATGGATGAATGGATATGATATGTAATCAGGCCTGCAAGAAGCAGCCAGGCTGCCTTGTAAAAGGAAGATCGGCCCCCAAGGCGAAGCTTTGACTGGCTCCTCAGTTGATGAGTCGTGCTGTCCAGTCCCAGGGCGCTGGGTCGTCGTGGGTAAGAGCCAAGAAATCTCACTGTCGACCAAAGCGAACCAGGAGAGAAGAGCGGTCAGATCGAGGGTCGCAGCGGGAGACAGGAAGGGCCCTTTTCTTTATGTAGATCTCTGTGTCTTATTGAGAGGGTGATCCACGATGTCGCCACAGTTTCCCCCCTCTCCGGGAAGACTAGACGCTACTGCTGCTTGAACCAAGTCGAACGACTACGCTAAACATGATACACGGGAAAATAAGCTTGACAGGCTCTGAAAGATAACCGTTCACCCGTTGCAGAGTAGAGTTTTCTGCAGATCCCCAATGTGGACGGCGTGATCCTGACTCCTCTCGTGTTCCAAGGGTGGTCTGGAAGGAAGGGAAAGGGGGCGTCTTCTCTAGCTCCGTTTCTCTGCAAGGCACCGTGATCCCCCATCTCGAAGTCTGCATATAATTGGCTTCAGAGACACCTTTGCAACACAAGCGAGCGAACGGGAGAATCTTCTGCTCTCAAAGGTTGGGGCGGAGACGAACAGGAGCAAGGTCCCAGGTTGAAGGATAGTCTAGCCTATGTAGACCCTTGCTCCGCCCGCAAACCTCCGGTAGTGTGCTGCGCGCATATGAAATCCCGAGAGTGTTGAAGATTGCAAAGCCATTAAAGGGCCCCCACGCTGCCAGAGTGTTGACTGCCGTTTGCGGCACGGCATGGCTAGGCGAGAAGCCTTTTGTTTTAACTTTTGAGACAACAGTTGGTTCACCCGAACGAAGTTGACAAGGCTACCGAAGTGTCAGTGCTGAATATCAGATTCAAATATTATAGTTACCACCCGCACTGGACTAACAGCCTTAGGATCGGACTATCATCATCACATCAGAAATTCTTAAAGGCAATCTGCAGTCTCCGAGCTTCGGCAACAATTCCAGCTCCAAGGACTCGTTCCTCATGTCGTGCGTTGCATTTCCCTCAGGGGTTTGCAGACGTATTCCTTGTCTGCCAAGCCGCTTAGAACACCATGCTCGGCCAAGAAAATGGCGTGTCTGGGCAACGCAAGGGAGACAACAGCGGGTTGGCTTTCAGCCGAGGGAACGGACAATTCGTACAGCATCAAATCTGCTTGAGACCCTCTTTGAATTGCTTCCAGAAAACTCGACCCAGTCCGTGTGTTGTCTAGTCGCGGCAATGAGTGCGCTACCAACGGCGTCTAGTTACGAACCGCCGTTGCAGATTCCGATGCAACTACGTATGTCCGTACGCTTGTCGCTTGAGGGCCGACACTCGACAGTGCCAGTGCAGGTTCAATTTGAGCTCAACCCCGGACCCCAGACCCAAATTCACCGCCATTGCCATTTCCCACTCTGTATCCGTAGTAGGTACTGCGGTAGAAGCGGCTGGCTGAGTGCTAAAACGCACGGTAATTGTCAAAATTGTCTATTGTCGATCTTTACCGCACACGGTATCAGTGTCCTGTCAAGCACCCCGGCAAAGACTCTTCATCCCTTGCAAGCGAGAGAGACTAAGTTATGAAGCCCCTCACAACTACGGGGCAGTCGCGAACCCTGATTCATTTGTGCAAAATCCCATTATCTCATCACTTCCCTTCCGGATGGAGACGTCCTCCTTCTTGCCTCTTTTCAGTTCGGACATGACTTGTCCTTTCAGGCAGCCAAGTCCTGGCCTCGTGGCGTCGGCGTGGGTCCGGCAAGAAGTTCGTTGGACGAACTTCTCTCGACATCCGACGCTCCGGAACTTGCGTCGCCAAGAATTCGACAACAGGTCGGGGGTTAGGAACTATGTAGGCCAATCTTGCCCCATGGCGATCTATCGACTTGGTGAAAGAAAGTTTTGGCGGCGGTTTCTGGACTCTTAAGGGCCGGCTTGCTATCACCTATTTCAGTCAATTAGCCGGTTCTTGTCCGTTGACCTGCCTGTGGGATGGTTACAGCGGAGCGTCTGCCACCAAACTTTGGGCATCAATCAAGCCAGAATATCATACGGCGCCTGCGAGAGTGAGCCGACGGCCTGCCCAGCGGATTCGGTGGCGTCGGCGCCGGTGCAGGCACAGCTGCACAGGTGACGATACTTGATGGCGAGAACCCTCCGAGGCAAGATCATCAGCCGTTGACTCGCACGACTCGCCTGAAAGTTCGGCGCGTCCAAAAAACCCACTTTCCGCAAGCCTAAAAGGCTTTGGTTCAGCTGAACAAAAGGCTTGGCTACTAGGCTGTTTTTTTCGCAGTCATTGGTGTGACTGCGTTTGCCCTATTTTCAGGACTCCACAGATCGATTTCTGGATGTTTCCGTATCGCAGAGGGATGTTCATTGAGGAATGCCATATGCGTATTGGTCGTCTTGAAGGCTGAAGCTACCACTCTGGGAAGACCATAGCACCAAGCACAAGACTTGAGGTAAACCAAGTGTTTCTCGTTCGCAACCGATGCTGTATCCGAACAATCTCAATCTCTCTTGTTTTCAGTGGTAGGCCAGACATTACTACGGTCAATAGTACTGAGACGTTGTAGTTCTGAAGAGACGTTACCTGATCCCTCAACTAGTAGATCTGACTCATGGCAAGTGAAACTCGTTGCATCCCTTGGAGAAGGACTACCCGCCCGAGATTAGATCTACTTATTTCTTGAATCTTTGGGGTTGCTTCTTCTCCTGGTTCGACTTAGGGTGAGGATTCGCGATATAAATTGTGCCCCTGTATGAAAGATGTATTGGTTGCGACTACTTTTTAGCTTATAGATTTGATTGATCTAGATGATTCACCGCCAACATGAAAGAATAGTGTTGACATGGCATGGAATACTGAACGCACATCACTCAGCCATGCTTAAACTGGTGTGCTTAGCAATATGAAGTGGCCTTGACACACAACATCAAGAAGTGAGAATAGAATTGCTTGTCATTTCAGGTCTGGTGCTACGAATGGTGCTGACATTTACTCAACGGCTAAAAACGATCTGTCTGACTCTAACCGCCCCCATTGCGAACTGAAATGCTCCCAGAGACTGACGGAGGTACTTGGCCAATGACAATTAGTATTCCCTTCCCCGTGAATTGGAAGGAAACACAACTACAGATAGGCAACACTGGTAATTTGCTGCTCGTGGCACCTCTTAGGTGGATGGCGATAATGACCTCGCAAGCATGACGCGTAAAAGCAGCTCACAGATTTTGCTACTGCAGCCTATATGATACGACTGTTGATTTTACATTTTTGTTTTCCCAAGATAGCCAACCCATGCCTTTGCGGCTTTTGTGCAATCCGGGTGCTCGTGTTTGAAATTTCGAGAATATCAAGAACAGCTTATGATCTTTAGGTGTCCCTTAAAGCTTGGTGGGGAGGCGACCGGACTGTTGCGCGGTCCAAGTCGCGATGAGGTCCATCAATGGAGGTGACAAGGCGTCGTACGTCTCCAAACCAACAGACTTGAACTTGTTGCGGACCTCATCGATACCGTTGGGGTGGAAGCCTTGCTCAATGATGGAAGAAACAAAGGCGGCGAATTGGGGCTCCTGCCATCCCTTCTCATCCGAGAGCTCCGCGTGCACAAAGTCCAGACCCTTGAAGGGGTGCGCCTTTTCGATGCGTCCGTACAAATGAACCCCGCACTCCTTGCAGGCGTTTCGGAGAATGACTGCCGAGTCGTCGACAACGTGGAGCTTGCTTTCGTTGGCAGTGACCTTGACTTGGTCTCTTGAAATAACACCGACAACTGAGAAAAGGGCGCCGGCGGGCTTCCAGCACTTTGAGCATCCGCAAGCGTGGTTGTGGGCAACGTTGCCTCCGAGTGTGACTTCCACGGGGTTACTCTTGCAATGGCAACGGAGCTTTCCACCGGCGAAGTTGGGGTCTCCCTTGGTGAGACCGTTGTCGATCAATGGGTGAAGAGAAGGGGCCATGGTGGATTAGACTTGAAGTGGTGTGTAGTTGGTGTTGGTTGATTAATCGGATATTGCTGTTGATGGGTGGGCCGAGGACCTTGATGGAGTAGAACCTTGATGGACTTGATTAGTTTTCTAGTTGTGTATATAAAGACAGCGAGGAATTCCTTTATATCAGATGTTGAATTTCATTTTCGGGGCGTTCTCAACTCCCGATTCCTCGACCGGCGACTTGGCGGAAGGGTTCCCGAGCCATCCCCGAAGAGGCCGGACCGGAACCAACACCCACGCGTTGGCTTACCTGATTCGCTGTCTTCCCCGCATTTCAATGCCGAATGCTGTCAGTCAAACGTTGATTCGAGCACGCAACTGGGATAAACTTGCCCGTTCCGCCTAATCTTCACGATTGCATGTCTCCTCGTTGCTATTATGAGGGCGCCTAGGGTATCGGATCCCCACCCGATTTGACGCCGATGATGATGATACCCCGCATAGTTTCACTCTGAAGTCAATTGCTTCGCCGCAGAACCAAGAAGAATACCCCGCTCGGCCAACGTAACGCCTAACCCCGCGACCCGAATGATGCGGTTTGGCATGATAGAAGCCGCTGATGTGAGACGAAGTTGTCGGCGTTAGGCATAGAGGTCTCGATAATGAGACCGATAGTGGCTTGGCCGGTTTTGGAATACCGACTTGTCTATTGAACTATCAAAAGGCGTGATCGAATGGCGCAGAGCCTCAAATTTCCGAATTGCCTCCATACCGCCGAGCGCTGCCTCAAATAACTCTTATCACTACCGATGACAGGGCCGGGTCTCGGTCCGCCGGCCGGCAGATAGGGAAGGTTGTCAGGAGAAGTTCAATTTCAGTCACAAAACTCTCGTATCAATGAGATAGCAATGTCGTTCGTCCAAACTCGTGCAAATGCGCATTAGCATCGAGAATACCCAGTTGCGTAGCCCAACTTCGAACTGGTGGTCGAGCAAGGTTTAATTATGAGTAGGATATACTGGACCAAAGGGATGGTGGCAATGGATGGTGGCCATGAGACAATAGGCTATGATGCTTTGTATCTAGTGAAGTTCTAGTGCTTCATATATCAAGATTTTCTCGGAGGCCATCCAGATCGACCACAATGGACAAGTTGAGCCCATACGCTAAAAGGCAAAGCGACCACAACAATCTATCAACGTTGTGTTTGTGGTGGACACAATTCGATACTATGCTTTGCTCGTGGTCACTATTCATGTCACAAGTTCTGGCTCAGGTGCCATTCACCCCGAGGTTTAAGAATGTGTTCTTGGTAACTCTGTCATTCATGAAGCAACTCGCAGTTGGCTTTTTTGTAGCTGATTCACGCAAGCAAAGTCGTGGTAACAGAAGTAGAAATGGTGTTCTATTCTGAACTCAGAGCGTTGCTGAAAACTGAACCACTTCGTTTTCAAAAACTCAGTGGCTTCACATGGCACCTATGTTATGAACATCACGGTGCCTTTGGAAATCACAGTTCATGGCCATTTGATTCTTTTGAGATAATAGTTGTAGGCTCTAGCGTCAAACTGTAATATTTTTCATGGTCTTCTTAGCGCTCATCATGCTTATGTTGGCGTGCATCCAGTTATTTGGGCTTCACTTAAAGTTACAGCAATTAGCATGTAGAAAGTAGCGAAGACCTAAGTGGTCAGTCTAATGCATGTAATTTTGTACGCTTCTACCTAGCTGTTTTATCTATTGCAGTGCTCAAAGTTCCAACGCTAGTTCTAGAAATAACTGTCATCACTGTGGGTGTGTTGTTATCTTGGAACCAGACATATGTTTCTTTAGTCAGTTTGATTCACATAGCATTCCTTGAACATTTAGCTACGCGGTCCTGATCCCTGGACGTACCTCTCCAACTTTTGTTCTCCTGCCACTCGTGGCTTCCGATTTACCTAGTAACCTGCCAAGTTAAGTATATTTAGAATGTCCAAATAGGTAGCATTGTTGTGTCATGTATCGGAGTTCGAGCCTCTATGCTAATATTCGTTCTGCACGTGGAACAAGGGAGAAGCAGCAGAAAAATGGCTGGATTGGATAAATCCAATGCTGAATTGCGCGTATTATGCAGATTTTGTTAGGCAAGCTTATCATCTACGGTTACTAGCGAGTATGGTATCTATTTTGCCCAGTCCGTCTGTCCTTTGTATTACTTGTGTTGGCTTTTGTAGAATATGGTGTAAATCAGCCATGTGGGCGACAGAATAAACATAGCCTTAAGACGAAATGGACGAATGTGGCAACGTCGTTCAACCAGATGATCATTGGACTGGTGTTTCTGTGAGTCCTAGCATCACTATTGATCTCACAGCACAGCAAATTCGGTGCAATCTACGATGATATTATCATGCAAGGTGCTGCTACGCATCAAAAATTTGAACTGTTTCTTTTGGATCTCTTACTCTCAATGACGGGTTGTCTCTCATCTGTGAACTCTTCCCGGAAATACCTCAAGTACGCATCGTACGTTTATTCTTCCCATCTAAACAGAGATAGAAATAGAATATTCGCCACCAAAACCCCCATTACCCATCTCACGACACCAAGGAAGTAATGAAACATCAACTACTTGACCGCACTAGGAGCGCCGCGTGCGGCACTCAAGACTCGGCGGCATAGACAAGGCCTTCTAGTGTTGAATTCGAGCAATATTAAAAACCGCCGAAGGGTTTCACTAACGCAACTGGGATTTGATTCGTTCATAGTATAATTATTGCCGCCCACCAATTGCTTGCGTTGGCATTCACATGTGAAGTCAAGAGGATAGATCGATGTCTGCCATCATAAGTGTGTTTTGAATCAGATAGCTTTCAGTTGCTCTGATAAACCCCCTGCATGAGCATCGGTCTATGCCTTCTTAAGTCGAACGAATACGAATAAGAGATGCTTGCCGAGGCAGCGAGGTAATAATAAAGTGTCACGTAACAAGGATAGGGACCGCAATCCACAAAGTACCTATCACGTACTATATCACGTATATCTTACTTATATCCTATATATAGACCTTTCTTTTTTATCTATTTCTATTTTAATAAATTAAGCTACTTTACTATACTCCGTATACCTATTACTATATACTATAACTCGTAATAATTATAAGCTTAGCTCTTAATTAAAACCCCAAAATATAATAACGTATTTATTAATATAATTCTTATTATCTCTTTAAAATAATAGATATTTTTACGTTAATCTTTAATTAAACTAAATTAACTAACTATAATAGTTAAATTAAATAGTTTTAAGCTTTTTACTTTATAAACGAGGGCCTCGAAATCTAAAAATACGTCGATCTAAACGCTCTAAACTCCGACGTACTCCTCGCTCCCTTTATAATATTTTTTTTATTATTAGATTTCAAATTATTATTTTTAATCTATAATAAAAAAGAGTAACGAGTTTATAAAACTTATTATAAAGCGTTTAAAAACGATTAACGAAAATAAAAGATCCTTTATTAATAACTTCTAGCCCTAATTCCTAGTACGACCCCTTTAATATCCTTAAATATAAGTAATTTATAAAATCTAGCTAAAGTTCTTTTTATAAAACTAGCTATATTACTAACTTTACGTAACTAAATATATCCCTATACTATACCTATAAAAAAGATCTATATACTCGAGAATATTTAAAAAAAATAAAAGCTCTCTACTAAATACTACTAAATTATAGCTCCTAAATATAATAATATTAATATATATATTAAACTCTTTACCTAGTAATTAAAAAAGTCTATTATTATTACTCTTTATAAATACGTATTCTAAAAAATAACTTAAAAAGGCGTTAAGTTTAGTATTTAATAGATCGTCTAATAATTAAAATAAGATTTAGTACCCTCCGAAGCTATAGTTAAGAGTATAGTTTAATAAAAATATAAATAAATCCTTAATAAAATAAAGAACGGAGTTAATACTTAACGCTAATATAAAGAGTAGTAGCCTACTTATTTCTAAATAAAAACGTACAATATCTTAAAAATTTAAAAAAAGATCGCTATAATCGACTTTTTAAAAGTAGTTAAGTCTAAGCTTAACCCTATATAGGGCTAACGAACTTATAACATTTTCTATAAATTAATCGCTTTTAAAATATATACTAGAACCCTCGGGGAGATTATATATATATTTAGCTTAATAACTTAAAAAATATATATAAAACAGCCTTTAAGCTAAAAAAGGGCTTACTCTACTTTTTTAGGGCGTTCTAACTTATATAAAGACGTAAATAATAAAAAGGACGTTATATACTTATATAATTATATATACTACTAGCGGCCTTTAATATACCAAAAACTAAAGTAAATATTTATAAATTATAATATTAATAGGTCCTTAATATAAATATTTAATAGCTATATAAAGGAGGTCTTTACTATAATTAAATTAAATAAATAGAAATTATTTTATAATAAGTTTAAAAAAGTTAGTTAGTTAAAAGATAATAGAACCCCTAAAAAGCCTTGGTTTTTAAAAGGATCCTCTAACTAGCCTATGACGAGTTTATTAATAGACTAAGACGAGGGCTACGTAGTCGCTATATTTATTAAAAGTTAAAAAATAAAATCGAACGTAATCTTTAATACCCTTATAAATAGTGCTTATTTTTTATCTTAGAGTATAGTAATAAATAGCTACGGGGCAATATACCTAGTTAATAATAAAAGTTTATTAGAATTTAAGAGCTACGTATTATTAAATAACGATAATTACGTTAAATTAAAAACTATTATATTACCCGTTATTATATATAGGACTCGGATTATAAAGGGCGTTTTAAATAGACCTAAAAAAAAAGGAATATACGATCTAAAGCTTTAAAACGTCGTTTACGTCGAGGGCTTCTATATAAATATAGTCTTAAAGACTTTTTTAAATAAAAGCGCACTCTAATACTATAGTCTAGATTATACTTTATAATAAAGAACGCTTTATAAAAATACCGTTAAAAAGTAATTAATTTAAAAAAATAACCTAGTCTTTTTTAAATATAAACTCCTTTAATTTTACCTTTTTACTATAGCCCTTAACTATATCTTTAAAAGCCTAGCTAATATTATATTACTAATTAGTTATAAAAAGTTCTATCGCTCGTATTAACGTATTCGTAAAAGATCTAATAGTACGCTTCTATA